CTGTGGTGGTAGAGCAGATCAGCTACTGATTGGAAGGTTGGTGGTTTGAGCCTTTGCTTCCCCAGTCTGTATGACAAATATCCTTGGGCAAGATACTAACCCCAAGTTGCCCTCCGAAGCGTCAACTGGAGTGTAAATGTTGGTTAGATTGTACTTGAGGTTAGAAGTCCTTGTGTGAGTGGGTGAATGAGGCATGTTGTAAACAGCGCTTTGAGTACTCCAGGAGAGAAGAAAAGCGCTATATAGGAATCAGTCCATTTACCACTGTCCATTCCCAAAATGCAACATAATAAATGCTATGAAACTGCGTTTTCATTCTCCAATTTTACCGTTTTTTATTAATCACTTACCTCTTGTGCAGTCTGGTTTGTTCAGAAAAGGATGAAGAGTCTTCAGCACCATCAAGCTTATTCACATCATCCTGAACATCCTCTGATGCCTGGAAAGTTTTATAGTTTTTATTTAGTATGGGTTTTGTAATTAATGGTTTCTGACAATGCCATGTGGAGGGATTAAGAAGGACAAAAGAAAAATCTACAAAGGCAGAAATGCTGAATCTGACACAGTACCTTCAGTCGAACAAAGAGGGTAGCACTCGCAGTTGACTGGACAGCCTCTTTGATCTCCTCAGTTGTCAGTGACTCCACATTTAGAGGCTCTAGTATCTTGTCGTCATTAAATATCAGGAGCTCCAGAGGTTCAGCAGCAGCCAGCTGAGGGAAGGTTGACCTCAGCTGAGCTAGGAAGTCAGCCTCCTGAAGACCTCGAGGAACCTGCAGCTCATGAGGCAGGTAATTCTGAAACACTGAGATAAAACAGGAAAGAGTGCTAAGTTGCAAGCTAACAGGGAGCATCACACCAAAACCTGACAATTTCATTCAAAAAACAAGAGCTCAGACGTCTTAGACAGTCTGTTATCAGCTGCACAGCAACTACAATATTTATCAGATATTTGCATTAAAATGGTCCAAAAGGCTCCAAGAGCACAAACAATATCCAGAGGTCCAGTTGAGGTTCAGGAGCTACAGCCACCTGTCAGTCAAAGAGACCATGTCCCCAACATTAAGCCTTACCACTGACAGCCTTGCTTGAAGTCCTCTATCACGGTACCACTACCAAAAAATGACCACCATCAGCATTCTGAATGACTGCTGTGTAGTGGCTCGTGCTCCAGTAATCATGAAGTGCTTTGACAAACTGGTCCAAACTCAGGTCATCACAAGCTTCCCAACCGTGATACACACACAGCAGCATGCCTACAGAGCTCTACAGAGGACCTCATAGTCACAACTGTGTCCTGACCACCGTAGGAGCTATGCTCGGCTACTCTTTATTATTTCAGCTCAGCATGTGATCACAGTGGTGATAACTGAATATTGTACTGGACAGA